GAGTAGTCCAATTTCAAAAAACTTTTGCAGTACTCATGTATTTCACTCCTTCCAAATACAAACCACATCGACTCAACATTTACAGAAAATTGGCATAAATCCTAGAAATTAGCATTATTAATGCAATTACCTCCCTGGACTCATGAAGTTCCACTTAGAAACAAAAGCACCGAACTTCAAAAAGTATTTCACAAAGCGGCAAGAGGTGGCACCAGATTCTCTGGCAAAATTAACATAGGCATCATACCTCTCTCTATAGAGTCTAGCAAGTGCTTATTATGCCTTTTTGATATTTCATTCAGGATACATACTTGACACTTCATAGGTCTGAAAGTAGCACAGTAAAACACTAGATACTGTTCTCCTACAGCTTAAACAGCTGAAATACAACTTGGACTTTCTACATCCAGTACTACCAATTTCTAATTAACCTGAGGATTGAATAAGAGTCCTGATAAACTTTTCCTATACCATTCAGAGCAGCAAATATACTTTTCTCTGTGCCTGCCTGAAAATACTCAGCCAAAAGCCATTTTAGATAACTGGCCCTCATATTTCAAGTAAATGTGTCATTTTTACTCCTCACTGCAAATGCCATTCCCAGCAGTACTTGCTTTAATTTTACTGAATTATGTTTAGGAATGACCAGATAAGATCACCACCAATCAGGTATAGTATGCTTAACATTAAGTCCTCTGATCTGTTTTATTGTACAATTCTGAAACTTTTGAGAGGCCTTAAGAGCTATGGGTCAATCCAGTGTGAATGCTATTGGTTATGACCAGAAACTGATCTCCCAGGAAAAAGGTACTCACAGAGAAATGGCAAGCCCTCCTTCAAACTAAGGTAACCAGAGGTTACAGCATCTGATACTCTTCGCTCTCAATCTTGCTCTCAAACCTGTATCCCGTGTTTAAATTTCTTTTAACCTCAGCATTCTAAGTACATCATAAGATTACAATAAGTGAGAGGAGGGTGACAGCAGCTCATCACTTGCACCAGTTCTTTCTGAAGAAGCTGTATCAGGCTCCAGTTAAGTGGCCAAAAACAATCTGGAGAGACACACAAAAAAAGGAGCATGACAAAAAGCTCCTGTCAGCTGCCACAGCTGCTCTTAGCTGTGCCACTCAGAAGAGCTGCAAGCCTGTGCTAATGGGATAGCATGTCTGGTTCAGCTAAAGCTCATGTGCTGCCTTGAACCAGACTGGAGTTGTCTCTCAACTGTTTCCCATCTGACATGAGAGCAACTACTCAACTTGCAATGTACGCTCAGGGGTTCAGAGAAACCAGATGTTTGGAGCTTCAGGAGTCTCGCTTGCAATCAAGTCCCTTATATTTTGTGAACTTGAATATTGACATATAAGATGCTTACAAGAACTTCTTACATCTTACTTCTGTTTACCCTTACTTGGAGTATTTCATCTACTTAGCAGTGTCTGAAAGAGACTCAAAAATTTGAAAGGTATAGTAGTCAACTATCTTTCGTTAGCTTGTATTGATTGATTGAGGTCTCCTAATATGTACGAAATGACAAAGCAATGGTAAGAAATTAACACCTCTTTAAAGCATACTCAATTATATTATATACTAACTAATCTGCTTCTCAGTCACTGAGATCTGATGCTCATCACGTATCAGCACTGTCCAAAAACACAACTAACAAATGAAATACTTACAAGAGACTGTATACGCTTGCAAAAAACCCCATAACTAGTTTGTTGCATATCTTCCTCCCTTATTACACTTTTTTATTTTTAACCTCCAGATTGATAAATGTATTCTTAACAAACAAACTAAATAGCTTTTAGTGTACAGCAATGCAAGGTTTTCCTGCCTTGCAGTCACAACACTAAAGGTCAAGGCAAAGTACTCATCGTGACTAGAAGGAACGTTTACAGTGACAAACTACTGAATATAAAAATCATTGTCTCACATAAAATGAAGGAGATAGGATTACATATCATAAAAATAGCTGATGAGAACCTTTGCAGAACTGAGGCAAAGAAATGGTAATACTTCTGTAAAAATTAAGAGAAAGAATCCTTCCACTAATACCAAGCAAAATCCTGAAATAAATAAATAAATAATAAAGCAGCTTCCCACTAATGCTGAATATAAAAATCATTGTCTCACATAAAATGAAGGAGATAGGATTACATATCATAAAAATAGCTGATGAGAACCTTTGCAGAACTGAGGCAAAGAAATGGTAATACTTCTGTAAAAATTAAGAGAAAGAATCCTTCCACTAATACCAAGCAAAATCCTGAAATAAATAAATAAATAATAAAGCAGCTTCCCACTAATGCTACACTGAACATAGCAGCAA